TTTTAAAAAAGATTTATTTTTTTATATTTATTATGCATACCATATTCTGTCTCTGTCCACAACGGCTTTGAACTCTGATCCTCCTGATTTCATTTCCCAAGTGTGAGCAACTACATCTAGCTTTGCTAGAGTTCTTGAGCCGCTGTGATTCTCAAAGGATGCTTTAGGAATGCCTGTGTTCTTATGTATCTTTTTGGAAACTGCCTTTGAACTCATAGAGATCTGTCTGCCTTAGCATCTCAAGCACTGAGATTACAGAACAGCGCCAATATGGTTGGTCATGAAAATTTCTTTCTTTCTTTTTTTCCTTTCCTTTTTCCTTTTTTTTTTTTTTTGAGATAGAATTTCTCTGTGTAATAGCTCTGGAACTCACTCTGGAGACTGGGTTGGCCTCGAAACTCACAGAGATCCACCTGTCTCTGCATCCCGAGTGCTGGGATTACAGGCTCACACTAAAAGGCACCCAGCTGGAAGTTTCTTACATTAATATTCAGAACATGGCAATGCCCTCTTTTGCATCCTATGGTATTAAATGTGCTGGACTGATTCTGAGATCACTAAAGTAAAGTGAGCAAAATTGAAGCTCTGGAGATTGAACTCAGAGTCTATTTCATTACAAAGCGTACCTGGGGCTGGGGATGTAGTTTAGCTGGTAGAGTGTTTGCCTAGTTTGTGCAAAGCCCTTGGGTTCAATCCCAAGCACTAGATCCACAAGTCTGATCCCAACCTAAGAGACGAGAGACTCTGTGTCTTAACTAGGGTTTCTATTGCTGTGAAGAGACACCCTGACCACAGCAACTCTTATAAAGGAAAACATTGGATTGGGGCAGCTAACGTACAGTTCAGAGGTTTAGTTCATTATCATCATCATAGAAAGGAGGCAGCATGCAGGCAGACATGATGTTTGTGGTGATATTTTGTTCATGTTTTAACAAATAAAGCTTGCTTGAAGATCAGAGTGCAAAGCTAAGCCACTAGAGGCCAAGCGGTGGTGGCTCACACCTTTAACTTCAGTACTAGGAAGGTGGAGACAGAGTGGTATGGCTGGGTGGAGAGAGGAATATAAGGCGGGAGGAGACAGGAGCTCAGATGCAGTCTGAATTGCAGTCTGAGTTGCAGTTTGCAGTCTGAGGTTTAGTGGAGACAGATGCAATCTGAGGATTCGGTCTGAGGATTCAGTCTGAGGACGGGATCATCTTTGGTCTGATCATTGGTAGAGGTAAAAGTTCTCTCTAGTGGCTGTCCACTCTGCTTCTCTGATCTTTCAGCTTTCACCCCCTGATAGCTGACTCTGGGTTTTTATTTATTTATTTATTTAAAAAATATTTATTTATTTATTATGTATACAATATTCTATCTGTGTGTATCCCTGCAGGCCAGGAGAGGGCACCAGACCTCATTACAGATGGTTGTGAGCCACCATGTGGTTGCCGGGAATTGAACTCAGGACCTTTGGAAGAGCAGGCAGTGCTCTTAACCACTGAGCCATCTCTCCAGTCCCCTGGGTTTTTATTTATTAAGAACAATTAGAATTAATGCTACAGGTGCTGGAGCTGAGAGTCCTTACATCTTGATTCAAAGGCAACAGGAAGAGAATTGTCTCACTGGGTGTAGCTTGAGCATAGGAGACCTCAAAGCCCATTCCCACAGTGACACAGCCAACGAGGCCACACCTACTCCAACAAGGTCACAACTCCCATTGGAGCCCCTCTCTTTGGGGGCCATTTGCTTTCAAACCACCACACTCTGTCTTTAGAAGCAACAGCAGTAACAACAAACCACTAGTCCGGTGAGAGGGCTGAGCAGGTAAGGACGCTTCCCACATAAGCCGGACAACCCAGTTCAATCTCTGGAGCTCGCATAAAGATGGCAGGAGAAAACCAGCACCACAGGGTTGCTTTCTGACCACTACCTGTGTGTATTCCCTACATCGTACACACAGTAGTGATAATACAAACTCACACATTTTGCTGAGCCACATCTATATATCAAAATAATTGAAAGTTTATGCCCTGGCAATGCTGAAGCACGCATGGGCAGCCCATATATGTCGGATTCTGTTGAATTCGTTCATATTGGGTTTCATGGTCTAAGTTGATGAGGACGACTGACCAGGTCTCTTCCTTACTGACCAGATCTCTTCCTCACATCTATATATAGACTCACTTAAATCAATAATACCATATAAGTAAGGCATTAACCTATTACTGCTGTAAGCATGAAAATATAAAAGCAGCGTAAGGATCCAACTTGGATCCTTTCCAAATTCGACTGTAGAATATGTTGTGTTTTCTTCCAGACCATCTGTCACACTTAAGTGCTTCTCGATTCATATAAAATACCTACTTTTTTTAAAAAAAAACCTGGCTGTGGTGATTTTTGTTGTTTGTTTGTTTTGTTTTGTTTTTCTGGCAGCCTAGCAGCCACACCTGAATCTACTAATATTTTAACTACCACCTGTGTCTTGTGGTCTGAAATCAGCACCACTCTGGCACTGGCTTGGTTGCCAAATGTAGATTTTAACTAAGTCTTTATCATTGTGTTTACCAATAAAGAATCGGGTCAGATGTTGGGGTGAAAACCTGCTAGATCAGAGAAGCCGAGAAGCAATCAACTGGCCTTTCTTTCTGGTCAGAGATCCAGCAAGAGAAGAGTCTCCCCACTTGTCTCAAGACCTCGAATCCCCACTCCTTCCTGTATGACTCTCTAGCCGCATTCCTGGCCCCTCTGTCCTCTCTGTGGCCTATTCCGGCCAGTTAGTCTCTGCTCTGCCTCCTGATCCAAGGTTAATTTTATTAACACAGCTTTGGAGTTTCATAGTGCAATCAAATATCCCAAAGCAGTGGTGTGCAGCTTTGATCCAGCACTCAGAAGGCAGAGACAGATGGGTTTCTATGTGTTCAAAGCTATCTGGTCTAGGTAGCATGTTTCAGGACAGCCAGGGATACACAATGAGATCCTAAATAAAAAAACAAAACAATAAAAAGTGCTAAACTGTAATTTTGTTTCCATAACTTAAAAAAAAACAGACCCACTATCTCTGTCTTTCCAACTGCTATGTGCATGTTGTGATGTGTGTGCTTCAGAGTTCAGCTGTTTACCCGCAGTGCCAAAGTCCTGCACGCTTGAACCTCAGCTCCTGGTGCCGCTTACTGTTGCTCTGACTGTTCTGCTGTCACTGGAAGCACCCAGATGTATTTTTTCTATAGTCATCACGTTTTCAGTAAATTGTGCTTCTTTTTAAAATAGAATTCTTGATCTTGAATCTGATATAAAACAGCTGACCATAAACTTTGCTGTTGAAGTTGAAGATGCTGCACAGAAATACTGGCCAGCTTTCTGAGGGTGAGAAAAGTGCCTGGAGGGAGCCAGCACCCATTTCTTCCTCAGAGAGTTTTGCAGAATCATGGATCCCATCTTCATGTGTGTGACCAGGCTACATACAACCCCATACTGCATACAACACACACATATACAACATACACAAAGCACACACACACATGCCAGGCAGAGGCAGCCACAAGACTTTAATCCCAGCATTTGGGAGGCAGAGGCAGGCAGATCTCTGTGAGTTCGAGGCTAGCCTGGTCTACAAAGTGAATTCCAGGACAGCCTGGACTATTATACAGAGAATCCCTTTCTCACACCTCCCTCTGCTCCCCCAAACACATGGTGAATAGCTTGGTGTCTGTAGGTCATGTGGTCTAAGCTTTCAGGGTCTGAAGAAGTACAACAAAGAGGTCACATTGGTGGCACATTGTGGCCTCTTTCTGCATACTCCTCCCTGGGAACAGGAATAACTTGTAGGAGATGGGTATTAGCATTGAGGACACGAAGCACCTTTCAGTTCCTGGGTTTCTGGAATTCAAGGCATATCTGAAGGAACAGGAAAAGCAAGCACTGAGGCTGAGGCTTGGCCAGGGAAGCCGCAGAGCAACGATGATTGCTGTGTATAGTCTGGTCCAGCAGCAATCTTACTTACTCGGCAATAGCTGAGTCGGGAAAGAAAAGCAGCCAAACCTTGTTGATCCCTTGGGTGAGTTACACTAGTTCTTGTTTTGATTTTTTTTTAAAAAATGTATTTATTTTACTTTTTGTGTTGTTTATGTACGCATACATACAGGTGCCTAGGCAGCCAGAAAAGGGGGTTGGATTCCCCAAAGTTGGGGCTGCAAGTGGCTGTGACCCACCCTATGTGGGTGCTGGGAATTGAAATCAGGTCCTCTGCAAGAGCAATAATTACTACTAATAATTACGAAGCCATTTCTCTGGTCCCCCACCCACTTTTTTGAGACAGGGTTTCATTATCCTTAAACTGGTCTCAAATTTGCCATGTAGCTGAGGCGGAGCTTCTGATTCTTCTGCCCCCATTTTCCAAGTGCTGGGATTGCAGCAGCAGGCCAGGATTTTTAGTGCTGTGCTGGGGAAAGTGAGTAGAACTTGCTGCATGCTAGGCTGCTAGGCAAGAACTCTGCCAACTGAGCTACGGCCCACATTTGTATGTTCGCTTACTTAATTACTGAACTGAGGTTTGAGCCCAAGGCTTCATGCATGCTGGCAAGCAGTGTACGCCCCGAGCCCTGTTTCTTTTTAGACAGGGTCATACTTCGAACCTACGCGGACCCCCCACCAACCATCAAGTTGTCACCATCAGGATTATGCAGTATTTAATGTAATCGATCAAGCAAATTGTCCTCCAAAGTGGCTGCACCAATATACACCAATGTACAGCCTACTCAGATATCTGACATTCCTGTTAATGTAGCGGAGCAGTTTTCCCTAGAAACAAGGACTCAGGCCTGGCCACGCCCCAGGAGGCCGCCCGCCCCGCCCTCCCCGCCCCGTCCCGCCCCCTTGCCCCGCCCTCGCACCGTACCTGCCTTTTCTGCTCGTTCCTCCCTTTCACTCCCGCCTCCGGGCGTCGTCTCCTTTCCCAGGGTGAGCAGCGCGAGGGGCGGGGCCCAGGGCATGACGTCACTGCCGGCTGGGCGCCATCTTGCTAGGTTGCGGCCGGCCTCGGACTCCGGGGGTGGCGGTGGTGAGGGCGTGGGGAAGGGTGGGGTGTGGGGGCGAGGCGGCGACGAGGGCGGCGACACTCTCCTCCACTCGGCTCCACGGCGTGGGACGGCGCGGACGTGGTTTCGGAGGGATGTCCGCCTTCTCTGAGGCGGCGCTGGAGAAGAAGCTGTCCGAGTTGAGCAACTCGCAGCAGAGCGTACAGACCCTGTCCCTGTGGCTCATCCACCATCGCAAACACTCGCGGCCCATCGTCACAGTGTGGGAGCGGGAGCTTCGCAAAGGTGAGCGTCCGGGCGCGTCCGACCCTGGCTGCCGGCTTCCTGGATCCGGGGTCCTGCTCCCTGCTCCCAGTCTTTCCCCAGGTTCCTCGCTTCCCACCCCGAACTCCCCGCGCCGGCTTCCCGAGTTCCGCCTGGGCTCTCTAGTTTTTCCCAGGTTCCTGCCAATTCGGTTCGTGCTCCCTGGCTTCCCTCGCCGCCTCCCTACGCCCTACCCCAGGCTCCCGGTGATCCGGTCCGGGGTGCCGTGTTCCCGCGCCCTGCCCCAGGCTGCCCTCTTTTCACTCCTGGATCCTAGCCTCTCACGCCGCACCCCAGCTTCCTGGATCCCGGGTCCTGGCACTCGGTAAACCACTCCGACCCCTTGGTCCTCTTGTTTTTAGCCCTGTCTCTGCGCGTCCCACCCGTTCCCGCCGGGCTCGTGAGTACTTTCCCGGGGTCTTCCGGCGTGGGGATTACTAGTGTATCCCGATCTCATTCACCATGCCTCCTGCAGAACCGGTGCTTGGTCCGCAGTGACAGACTAAAAGTGTAAATAACCAAGAAGTCCACAACCAAACACTAAATAGTATCGAGAGATTTGGACCCAGCACCAGTTTAGAGCCCGAAACTCATACAGTCGGCGTTTTTCTCATCCTGTAGTTTTTCATGGAAGATAGGAGAAGGAAAAAAAAATCACGAAGTTGAAAGGAAAAAAAAAAGTAGGGTTGGGAGTTGTGCTTTTTTCTATGATAGATCAAATTTGCTCATGTATAACTAATACAGGTATGTCAGTTTTTGAACCGGGAGTTTAAAGACACGTGATGCGGAGTAAACATCCCTTGCTTGGTAGGAAAGAGGATCTCGGCTGGTGAATTCCTTTTAGCTTTTGAATTGTAGACGCCTTACCTGAAAATGACAGTAACCTAAGGACTCTTTAGTTCAGCGTCTTCATTTTACAAAATATTTAATAGTGATACCCAAAGCCAGGGGAACTTTTTTGAACAAATGTCTTTCGCTCACCGACACGCAAAAATTCAGTTCATTCCTGCTGAGTAACTTTATCTATAAAGAGCTAGTTTGTGCTAGATCTGCAGAAAATAAAATAGGTATTGGAGGACCGGTGTAGTGGCACACACCTTTAAACTTAGCACATGGGCGACAGGGGCTCTTGAGTTCGAGATCACCCTGGCTGGCCTATGTGAGTTCCAGGTTAGCCAGGGCTACATTTGTACATTGTGAGACCCTGTCTTTTTTCATTGGCTTAAACTGAATTTTATGTTACTTCTTAGATCATTGAACAGAGTGGCACTGTTCTTTATTGTTTCATACATCTGCATAGCTTTCATATAAAGTGGCTGTGCTTAACTTGTATGTTTGTGTGTGTTTCCAGACAGGGTTTCTCTGTGTGTCTTTGGCTGTCCTGGAACTCTACAGCAGGCTGACCTCAAACTTAAGAGATCTGCCTGCCTCTGCCCCTCAGGTGCTGGGATTAAAGGTGTGTACCACCACCGCCAGGCAACTTTATTTATACGTTAATAAAATTAGTTCAATGTGTATGATTGTTTGCCTTAATTATATATGTTCTCTTTTTGCTGTGCCTGGTGTCCACGAATCCAAAAGAGGATGTTGGGTTTCCTGGAACTATAGTTACAGGTATATGTGGTTAGACTTGATGTGGATGTTGGGAACTGAACCCAGGTCCTCTGCAAGGGCAGCAAGTGCTTTTAACTTAGCCATCTATCTCTCCAGCCCCCTTATTGCACTTACTGTAGGGGGAACCCCAACAGAGCTGCGGTTGGTTTGATTCTGGAATGTTAGCACCTAGCCTTAATCCGCCCTTTGTCTTCAACACCTTCTGTTTGAAATATGTAAATCGTGTCCGAGTTTCCCAAAGGTGCAAAGCCTATACAAAACTTGGTTGGAAAAAATCCAGCAAACTGTGATATTTCTTGATTGAGAATTTGTATTTGGCATTGTCCCTTTGAGAGACTTAGATGAGATGTTTTGGGATATGGAAATGAACTTGCTAAAGGTGTAGATTGGATAACAATAAAAAGCCCTGGGCTAAGGCTCATACCTGGAGATTGAAGTTGAAAGTGTGTGTGTGTGTGTGTGTGTGTGTGTGTATGCCTGTTGATGTCAATGTTCTTTTGCTAGGAATATATCCAGTAATAGAGCACAGAATTCTGTATTGCATTATAAAAATGGAAATTTAACTTAGTTTTTTCCTTTTTTTAAAAGATTTATTTCTATATCTTGTATATAGTGTTCTGCTTGCATGTATGTCTGCACACCAGAAGAGGGCACCAGATCTCATTACAGATAGTTGTGAGCCACCATGTGGTTGCTGGGAATTAAACTCAGGACCTCTGGAAGAACAGCCAATGCTTTTAACCCAGAGGCCATCTCTCCAACCTCAAATAACTTTCTTTTGGGGGTGTGTGGTACTAGGGATTGAACCTAAGGCCTTGTACACTCTAATACTGTTTTCTTAAAAGCAACATAACCCCATCTTACTATACCATGTATAGTGATAGTTTCCTAGTTCACAATAGTTAAATGATTGCCATTGGCTCTGTGCTGTAAGAGATGAGATGTTGAAGTTGATAAACAAAACTGTAGGAATGTGAACAGGACACATGGTCTGGGTCCTGAAAGAAGACCATTGAGTTACATTTCCAGCCCTTACAAAGTGGAAACAGACATTCTGGTAGGAGAAAATGACCTTTATGTTGTGATATTAACACAAATTATTAATGCTTAATAGTTTTGTTGTTTTGTAATTAGTGAACTAGATGCAGGTAAGTGCATTCTGCAGCTGGAGGGCTCCTTGCAGCCAATATAAATGTGCCCAACACAGAGTTGTGAACATGAGTATGATTTTTTTTAACATGTGATTTTGTTCTTTGGTCATTCTGTTGCACAGAAAATGTTTTAAATTTTATTTATGTGTATAGGTGTGTATGTTTGTTTGTGCACCATTTGTGTGCCAGAGAAAGCCCGAAGAGGGTGTTGAAATCTCTGAAACTGGAACCACCATGTGAGTGCTGGGAATTGAACCCAGGTCTTCAGCAAAGGCAGGAAGTGCTCTAAACCACTGAGCCATCTCTCTAGCCCTATTGCATAGTTTTTTAAAAAATATTAATATTATGTGTGTGAATGTTTCACTTGCATTTATATATGTGCACCAGTGCCTAAGGATGCCATAAGAGATCTTCTCCTGGTTGTGAGCCACCTTGTGGGTGCCTAGAGCTGAACTCCAGTCCTCTAAGAACAATTGCTCCTACCCACTGAGCCATCTTTGCAGCCCCCTTTGCACAGTTCTTGAGTGTGAGTTTTATAGATGACAGTGTGTTGTAGTGTCAGAGGCTGGGCATTCCTTATAGAGCTATGTGGAACAGCATAACTGAATTAAGGAACAACCAAATCTTGAGTAAAACAGTCAGGGTACTGACCAGTTTGCCATTTAGAAAAGTTAGAAAACTCTCAAAATCTAGTGTTTACATAACGTGCAGTTGCAACGAATGCATGTATAGCTCTGGTCTTGGTGATGCTTACCTGTAATTCCAATTTGGAGGCTGAGGCAGGCAAATTAAAGTTCAACTTTAGGCTGCATAGAGAGACTTTGCCTCAAACAACCACCTCAACAAAACAAGAGCTATGTGGAAGGTAGTGGTTGAGCACTATATTCCAAGATAATGATTACCAAAGGCAGGAAAGGAAGGACTGAGATGTGTGCTAGGTGATTTCAATATATTAAAAAGGTAGTGGTGCAAGCGTGCAGGCAGATGGTAAAATGCTATGAGCCTGACTGGGGACACCCTTACGTGATGAAATGCTTTATACTTAGGAAGAAAATGACAGGTAAATAGATGTTCTGAATGACAGTGCGGACAGTACTGGTGGTGGTGAGCTTCCTTCTGCACAGAACTCACAGTGGTCTGGATTAGTCTGCCCCAAAATTCCTTTCCTCATCAGGGGTGATTTGTAGGGCCTCATCGGAGTCTCCTTCCACTTCTTCAGCTTTCGGATGATCTTTATCCCCTCAGCACTATCACTCTGTTGTGTTGTAAGTGGGTTGTGGTGGTGTGGTATGTATGAAGCAAATAGTGGACTCTTTTGGGTTTTCTTATTTCAGTTTTTGGTTGTTTTAACTCAACTGATTGAAGTACTTGTTGAATTTGTATTCACTGATAATGCTTTAGATCAGTAAGAGGTGACGTTAATAAAATAAAGACTGTATATTACCTGCTCTGATTTGTTTTAAAAACAGCACTGTGTGTGTATTCTTGAAGACATTGTTTTAAAATGACAGTTTTCTATGTTGTGTGATACTGTTACTTATTTCTGTTTTGTAGTTAGAACTAAATAAGTTTGCACTGAAGTTTTCATAGTTAAAAAGAATTGATGGAAGCACCGGATGGTGTTGGCATACACTTTTAATCCGAGCACTGAGGAGGTAGAGGCAGGTAGATCTCTGAGTTTGAGGATAGCCATGGCTACACAGAGAAACTCTGTCTGAAACAAAGCAAAACAACAATAAAATAATTGATGTTTTCAAACCAATGTAGACTGTATCTTTGAAGATAATTGTTGAATTGTAGCTGTATAACTTTTCCCTCATTTTCTTTTCTTTTTTTTAAAAAGATTTCTTATTTATGATGTATACAGTGTTCTGTCTTGCATATATGCCTACTCTCCAGAAGAGGGCACCAGATCTCATTACAGATGGTTGTGAGCCACCATGTGGTTGCTGGGAATGAACTCAGGACCTCAGAAAGAACAGTCAGTGCTCTTAACCTCTGAGCCATCTCTCCAGCCCCTTTTCCCCCATTTTCATAGATTTTTTTTCACATCCCTTTCCAGGAATAAGATCTGTAGTATAAAGTTATTTTTGTATTATTTTTTGGATGGAATAAATATTTAAATTATCAGTTGATAGGCCGATCAAAAAAACAAATTGCTGGGCTGTGGTGGTGCACACCTTTAATCCCAGCACTCGGGAGGCAGAGGCAGGCGGA